AATTATAACATTTACTATGTTGCCTTCATCATCACGTTCTATTATTCCAACATTAGGTCCTAAAACTTTTTTCAATTCTTCTTTATTATTATTATTATTATTATCATCATATTCTATTTTCCCTCGATCTTTTTCCTCTTCTACATTATCTGGATACAATTTCTCTATACCACCTGCAACTCTATTAAGTGATGTTAAAAGCCCTATACGTTTATAACTAAATCAGATAATGTTTATTATTAAATAATTAAAATATCAATTAACAATTATTATTATTTATTATTATTATTAATGTTATTATGTCAATCTATACTTTTGACGAAGAGTTTCTTTTTTATTCCAATTTGAAGCTATTATAGGGTCTCCCTTGAAAACAAGTGATAAAAAAAAATTTTTTAATAATTTCAAAATCAATTAATAATTAATTCTGGATTAATTTAAAAAAAGTATTTATTACATGGACAACTATTTTTTTAAAATGTTTATTTGAAGTTTTCCTAGAAAGTTTAAGTGAAGGATTTTTTATCTTACGACGTTGTCTTGGTCTTGCCATTTTGACCTTTCTTTTTGCAAAACAGGATTATTTTTTTTTTTGGTCAGATCATCACGTGAAATTCATCAAAGATAAATAATGATATTTGTTATTGTTATTGTTTTCTCCCAAATTCTTTAAAAATAATTTCAAAAAATGGATGAAATTTTTACGAAACTAGCTATACACACTGCTTCCTTGGTAACTAATTTTTGATTTATAATCTATTTTCCTAACGAATATTTAAAAATATGTGTATTGTTATTATTTTTTATTATTATTATTAGGTTGGTAAAGCAGCCTTTGCTTATAGTACCAATTATGCTATGGTTGGTTGATTTAGTTATTTGTTAATCCATTAATTGATTGTTTGACAATTATATATTGTCATTATATAAAACACTTTTTAAACGATTGTTTTTTTATAAAAGAAACAAGTTACAAATTATATAGTAAATAGTGATTCATCATCATCATCTACTCAAAATAATTTAGATATTGAGGAACTTGGACGTGTTAAAGAGGTGTTGTAGTCTATATTTATATATATGTTAAATTTGATTTATTTTACAAAAAATTAATTCATTATTGGTCATTGACATTAATATTATTTTAGAATTTAGAACTTAGTATACAAATGGTACAACCTGCAATTGATTTGATTGAAATTATTTCTGCGCGTGGGAATACTTCATTGGAACAAACTGTTAATTATACTACACGTTTAAGAAAAGAAATTGAATCTTTTGCTCAAAAGATTTCTTCTGCATTAGCTGACAATGATGATGATAATGTTAACAAAGATAAACAACAACAACAATCATCATCAACCACCACTACTGATAA